GCCAAGTTTGGTCAAAATCGGTTGGATGGGTCTCGAGTGAAAATGTATCACACAGACAGCCATAGACCGACACACAGACATTCTCTCTCTTATATATATATGGATAATATAATATAAAAATGAAATTAAATGATGAAAAATAAATATAAGATTAAGATAAATGAGCGAAATTAAACTATTTCTGTTTTATAACTGTTTTTTAGCTCGTTTTTGAGTTATGATATATTTTTGCAGAATTTTCTCAAAAAAAAGACAAATATATTTCTTACATCTTGGTTGAGATAAGAATTATTTTGAGCAAAATATTAACAGACTTTATGATGTCTTCCAAGTACAGTGTAACCCGATATAAGAGAAACCCGGATATAAGAGAGATTTTCTCTGGTCCCAAATTAGAGCCTGTGTTAATGTATATAAAATAGACCAAAACCGGATATAAGAGACTTCTTCTCCGGTCCCGAAAAATCTCTTATATCCAGGTTACACTGTAATTAAAATGAAACAAGTGATGCCACTTACACTGAATCCATCATAAAAATTAACGATTTGGAATAAGTAAATACTAAATACAGTGTAACCTCTAATTTGGGACCAGTGAAAATCTCTCTTATATCCGGGTTTCTCTTATATCCGTGTTACATTGTACTTCAAATAAGTCGATATCTGGATCTGTTATAACAAATTTAGTATATGAGATAAAGAAATTGTAGACTGTGTAGTTTCGCTTAACACTGCAATTTATAAAATAAATCATTAGCCTAAAATATTTAGGAACGACGTCGTAGAATGGACATACAAAGTACTAACATGTGCACTGCGTCATTTTCATTCAAAATAATCAACATTTTTGGGAATACGTTTTGAAAGCGTCGCCCATGTGACGACAACGTGACCATGCTAAACGGAAAGCTGATCATTTTAAAAATTTTCAGTTATCTGTTTTGGATAAGACTTGTTTTTATGTCCATCGTCTTTGTCAAATTGAACTGAATTGTATTTTAATGAATATTTTCCTGAAGAAGGTTTATTAAACCGAAACGTCAGACGTCGACATTTCATTCATTTTAAACAACATAATTGCATTTAAGGATTTTTGTTTGTTTTTTCCAAATTTTTCTTCATATATATATATATATATATATATATATATATATATATATATATATATATATATATGCATTTGAATTATAAAAGCATAAAGGATATCTTATTTATGAAGATCACGAAGGAATAGTTTTGAAAAGAATTTTAAAAAAAGAGATTTTTTGCCATTAAACAATTAACAATACGTTGGCTAAGATAAAGACACACACTGGAGGACATAAATAATAAAACTGAATCCGTTGAATGTCATTGTTTTATTAATATTTATGTGTATATGCAAATATATATATATTGTATATAGATATTAATTATACGTACCAGCCTAATGATTTTGCAAGCGTAGCTTGGATGTTGGACAAGGTCGAAACATGTATGCCAACAGTTGGCAAGTTTTTTTTTATTCTGTAGACAGAATCGTGTGTATTAATGACTGATCAGTGAACCGGGTAGATCGTATAAATAGTTTGAAATGTGGGAATCATTGTTTATTTTAATAAATCTTTTTATATTTTGATTCAAATCAACGAATAACATAATCTAATCATTTCTGAGCAAACAAATATGAATGAGGAATAATTAGAAAAAATGAATATTGCCACATTTTTTTTATCGATGAAAGACAAAGTATTAACATGATAACAGAATGTTGGTAAATTAAAGAATTTCTTATTTTTATCAAAAAAACTACATTAAAGAGTTCTGGTAAGAATTTGGTAAATTAAAGAATTTTCAATTTTATTAAAAAAAAATAAATTAAAGAATTTTGGTAAGAATTTGGTAAATTAAAGATTTTTTTATTTTTATTAAAAAACTAAATTAAAGAATTCTTGTAAGAATTTGGTAAATTAAAGAATTTTCAATTTTATTAAAAAAAATAAATTAAAGAATTTTGGTAAGAATTTGGTAAATTAAATAATGTTATATTTTTATTTAAAAAAAAAACTAAATTAAAGAATTTTGGCAAGAATTTGGTAAATTAAAGAATTTTCTATTTTTATTAAAAACGAAAGTCGTCTAATTTTGCTGTAAAACATCAGCTAATCATTGCATACATCAGTGTTTGATTTATAAGAAAACAGATCCTAGTGCCAGTGCAAGAAGTTGTTATTACCTGATCGATCAAGATGGTCTTGTGAAACATTCAGACGAAGGATAAATCCCTTCTCGGGATGGACAGGCGAAATATCCCAATACCGGCTTTTGGCGCCGGTTAAAATCCGGATGTGGCCAGCAGGCTGCAGTTTGTCTAAATCTGGTACGCATTCACCGTAATTCAAGCAATATTAAATGAACGAATGATTATATAGGATTTCGATGGCACACCTGCTCAAATAAGTTATTGCAGAAAGGATATTGAAACTAAAATCACACGTTTTTGACTCATATATCAAATATTTCTCTAATCTTCAAGATTTTTATTCAAAACCTCGTTGGCTGTCGGTTGATGTAAATACCGAGGTAGTTACCTCTTTCAGGATATAAAATGGATTTAATTGAATAAATAAGTTATTGAATTATAAAAAGCACAAAAAACTCTTTTATTCATAAAGATCACGAAAGAACAAATTTGAAAAGCTGATGATATAAATTACGTATCACCATGAAACAAGAATCAATAAGTTGGGTTAGAAATAAGACATGCGCTGGCACGTATAAGGGCGCCTCGAGGTGGTGTAATGGTTAGCAAGCTTGTCTTGCTAGAAGAATAACGACTGGTGAGGGAGTTCAACCCTCACTGGGTGCCCCTTACTTTCGGCCTTGTGCCACGTCTAAGCTACGCTTGGAAAATCACTACGCTGGTAAGTATAAATAATATCTGTATACAATATATATTTGCATATAAAGAGTTGTTTCACCACGTGCTCAAACTTAAACTTGTACTTAAAACAGCGTGTGTCTTATATCGTTCCCAACGTATTGGTAATTGTTTAATGTCGAAAAAACTGTTTTTTTTTTAATTCTTTTCAAAACTATTCTTTCGTGATCTTTATAAATAAGATATTCTTTATGCTTTTATAATTCAATTGCTTGTTATATATATATATATATATATATATATATATATATATATATATATATTGTGTGTATTTAGGCAGCATTTTTTCATTAATGCCTGTTTCGTTAAATAATATACAATTGTTTTGTCTATTTTAAGTAAATTTCTTTCATATTGTTGAGTAAGCTTTTTAGTATTATCACTGAAACACGAAAGAAAATCTTCATGTTGAAACATGTTTTTATTGTTAATCCTTTCTAAGCTTTCGGTTTACATAAGCCATCATCAGGGATAACAAGTATATTGCAATAAATTAAATAATAAATTAAATAACAAAGATGGTAATTTTAGTTTTAGATTTGTTATGCGGATATTGCAACAATGATAGTTTTGTTTTTGTTTGCATGGAAGATTGATATGCAACGATAAATTCGTGCATATGAAACGCAGGAAGCAAATATCGCGTTGCGGTTCATGACATCACATATGACCACGTGAGAATGAAAATGAAGAAAAGTGTTAAGTATGAAATAGTATTTTTAAAAAGTAAATAAGTTATATATATATATATATATATATATATATATATATATATATATTATTTTTTTTTTTATTTTTTCAATGAAACATGACCCAGAGCACATGTTTTTTTACTTTGTATAGCCATTCCAAAGTTGTTCCTTGCAGATTGACCACAGATTCTTGACTGGATTTAAATTAGAGTTTCCGCGCTGTCTATACCACTTTGTTTTGCTCACTGGCAATGCTTGCCAGTGTGTTCGTGCGACGTTACAATTTTCGTACGCTTCCTTTGAGTAAACGTCTATCCCAAAGAATAGCCATAGGACAACTAATCGACAGACAAGACAATAGTGTCTTGGCGTGCTAAAAATCTGATGCAATCATGGATGACGCAATATTTTTCAAGGCCAAATACATTTCATCAGACACACCCACACCGAAAAATATTCATATTACTGCACACCATTGCTAATGACCTAATCTAAGAAAAAAATAGAAATTGATTACACCCTGTCACTCCTGTCGGTCTAAAACTGACCGTATGGTGAAAGAAAGGAAACTAAACCGGTTGTTTCAATAAACATGCGCAAGTGTATATATAGACAAGCGTGACGGTCTGTTCCATGCGTAAACACAATCTTCAGGCCAAGTATGTTATGTTTCGGCTCGTCTATTTATATATGTTGTTCAATGGTACATTATGTATTATTCTAACGGTTAGTAGGTGGGCGATTATGTTTATGTTTCAAAATATTATAGAGGCTATTAAATAGAAAGAATTTATAATCACATACGCTCTATTACAGATATTGACCACGTTAGTCCATAAATACAGCAATAGCATACCTTAAAATTATGTTTTTATCATTTATATATCTATAACCGTTTAAATGTGTCAATATCTGCTAACTCACTCATGTCTTCTCTCTCCCTCCTCACTTCCTCACTTCGTTAATTTACATATGTTTAATACGGCCCGTCAAAAATGTGTAAATTTTCTTTTCATTTTTTGTTTGGAAGTAAAGTCTGATGATCCGCAGTCCTTTTAAAAGGGCTGTGGTGAAATAATTTATTACATAGTACCTTAAAGTGGTCTGTTTTTATTTAAATTATTTGCTCTGGATTTACATTGAGCTCTCTGGATTTTATCCTCCTTAGGTTTACCCATACGTATTACCTAGTTTTTCATAAACTATATATATATATATATATATATATATATATATATATATATATATATATATATATATATATATGGGGGTGTTCATAAACCACACCTTGCTTGGGGTGAAATACTTAAAAAAGTCACAAACTAAAAAAGCATTTTGTGTTCTGTTCAAACACCCGACACTTATTAACGGATGTTTTGTTCAGTGTGATGTCGGATGTGCTACTTGAGAGACGCCCTCCTCTATCCGATTATACTCTAGTTACTCTCAATGAAGGAGTATCAACTCCTGTTCCAGGTAAGTAGATATTTACTTGCCCCCAACCCACCGATTGAGTCAGGTTGAGACACAAGGTCAGTTTTTAACGTGGGACCCCTAGAGTTTTCACTCAGGCCGCTGGCCCAAGCTGGTCAGAGCTGGTCTAAGCTAGTCATAGCAGGTCTTGGTTTGTCATACCTGGTTCAAGCTGTTCAGAGCCGGTCCAAGCTAGTCATAGCCATGATATCACCAGCATAAGGACGGATCCCTGGGCCAGGTAAGTATATTATTTACGAGAAGTAATTTTAATTATATGACTCTTACTGAGAGGCTGATATTATTTAACTTTTCACTTTCTAAATATTAAGGGAAAACATTTTAGGGTGTTCATAAACCACACCTTACTTGGGCTGAAATGCTAAAAAGTCAAAAACAAAAAAAAAAAAAACATTTTGGGTTCTGTTCAAACACCCGGAACTTATTAACGGGGGGTTGTTAATTGTAATGTCGGATGTGCTGTTTGAGAGACGACTTCCGGTATCCGATTATTGTCTATTTATTCTCGGTGAAAGAGTATCAACTCCTGTTCCGGGTAAGTATATTATTTACGAGAAGTGATTTAAGTTATACGACTCTTATTGATAATACTGATAACATTGATATTATTTATATAAATAATTTGACTTACCACTTGCTAAATATTAAGGGAAAAATATTTCTAGGGGTCCATAAACCACACGCTACTAACGGAGGGTAAAAACTATACCATTCTAATCAGAACTAACCCCATTTTATAAAACCTGACAGTTTCTGATATGATTAACCGATTAATGTGTTTTTTAAGGCTTATCAACCGTTTACAGGTTTATGTATTTTTTGGTCGTAATTAATTTTTTAGGTATTAAAGATTTACTGATAGCAATACTAGTATTTAAACCATAGCTGGGAGAAGTGGAACATTCATACCTTTCCCAATGATATTTGCGCGTGAGTGAATATAACGAACCCAAATGGAATTTGAACTCGGGTCTAAGATTTTCAGTTCTGAGCCGTCATCCATTAAACCACCCACACATCCAAGCTGGCAGCACATGGTATTCTCAAGCGGTTACCCTTCTAGCGACTGACCTCTTTGGGAAGAAGACAGTTTATTGTTTTTATAGTAAAATAAGTGCCTCTGTATATTTTTCTATTGAATATAAAATCTGAGTAAAAAAAAAATATATTTATTTTCTTTTGCTGTCTGTAAATAACAGAGAACTCTGAAATGTCGATAGTTTTTAAACAAAGCAAAAAGCAAAAGAAAACAATATAAAAAGTCATTTGTTTATCAGTTTGAAAAAAAAAAGTTTCATGTGACCAAATCATTAGTTGGATTTTTTTTTTTCTTATGAAGAATATTTTTTTTTTGCTCTCTTCCAATTACAATCCAAATGAGTCGGAAAAAAATCATCGATCAAATCTGGTGGATTGAGGCAATAAAAGTAGCAAGAATAAACACCACCTGCCAATGGCTACCAGACGCCATTGACTGTTGTTGACTGCGAGGAAAAGGCGGGAAATTCTGTGGAATTAGTCGAATTTCAATCCTGAAACACCCACCGCTACCGTCGATACCTTAAGGGGGTGGGTGCGGCTCAAATATTCTTTTCGTTGCCAGTCATTTTGTGATTATTCATAAACAAAGAATCAAAATGCCAGTAAGGGGGGGGATCACTTATCCTGTTCATTTATTTCAGGGAAATTTCAAATAGAATATAATTTCAACGACAATAATAATAATAATAAAAAAATGCTATTCAACGTGCGAAAGAAACTTTACAATTACCTCGGTAGTAGTTTTGCTAATTGTCTTCACTCTGGATCTAAATTTTTCTCTTGTTTTCCAGCGAACCCAAAGATGAGATGAAATCAATGGACGGTCAAGAACTCAGTCTTTCTATAAAAAAAAAAAAAAAAAAGTTTCTGATAAAAATATTTTTGCTAAAAATGTTATTTGTAAACACAATAACCACCCCTAACACACACACACACACACACACATACATACACACAAATACACTGTTTTATAGACGGTTACAAATATCTTGCCGGTACAAATTACGTGGGGAGATCACTTTAAGGATTCACATTTCGAATAGCAAAACTATAGAAACGGAAATGAAAGAGTTCAGCTTTTCTCTTCAGTTGCTGAGTACTTGACTCTTTATCGTATTTGCCACCGGCTTTACAATTTAGACATTTTTCTTAGAAAAAAATGTTTCTTCTCTTATTCGTATTTTTAATAAATGAATTGACATTTAAGACACCCACAAGTCTTAAAAACTGACACTATTTCAAAATATTTTCTATAGGTAAATAATATGAATTATTTTATGAGTAATCAATAGGAATTGGGCATTTTAGGGTAAAACAATATGAATTCAATATTTTATGGTTAAATAGTATAAATACCATATTTTATGGTTAAATAGTATGAATTCAATATTTTATGGTTAAATAGTATAAATTCCATATTTTATGGTTAAATAGTATGAATTCAATATTTTATGGTTAAATAGTATGAATTCAATATTTTATGGTTAAACAATAAGAAATCCATATTTTATGACTAAACATTATGAATTCAGTATCTGTCTTTATTTCTGCGATGTGGTATTATGTACATTATTCGGACTATTGTCCTTATCTTTGTCGCCATATTTATTACAACGTTTCGGCCGTTGTACGCTCTGGCATTCTTCAGGTGGTTGGAATGTCGAACTTAACCCTTTATTTCGATCACTTGGGTAGACTGTTCTAGTTCTACGTGCCATGTTTAATGGATGCCAGTTATCTCCTACTAATTTCCCTCTGAAAGTTCTCCACTGCCTTAATCGGGTATTGAACTCACACTCTTTGGATCCTGTCACTGGATCTAACAAACCCATTTATCCACTGTGCCATGTGTCCTCAAGGACACATGGCACAGTGGAAATTAACATTAAATACATGGAAATCATACATTAAAAAAGTGCACATAAATATTAAATCCTAAATCATTTACTGATTGGTTCATTGACTGAGTTTTTACGGCTTATCAACCTTAAACTCAGAAAATACTTTTTATATTACAAGAACTTTTTTTCGATGTTTGCGTGGGGATGTGCTCATAGCTCGTACCATAATAGATACTATCACCCCGTTTCCACCAAGTACACAATCATTATGCCACCTAATTCACAAGACAACGCTTTTACTTACGGGACACTGGTGAGCAATATCTTATTTACTGATACAATTCGTACTAATTAACCCATAGCTGGGGAAGAAGAGGTTGATTTATACATTTATAAATTTCCCTAGGGTAAATGAAATATAACGCGTAAGTGAATTTAACGAACCCGAATTGGAACTCGGCTCTCCAATTTCCAATTTTAAACCATTATCTATGGAAGCTTAGAATCCCTAGTATTTACCCATCTAGCTACTGGCCAGATTCGACGTTTCTTAACTTTGGTAATCTTACGGGAACCGGTGTTATTAACAGAATGATTATAAAGTAGGTAAATATTTAATTTATATCAACATAATTAATCGATCCAGAAAAAATATGAGGCAAGTGATTCCAAGGAAATATTTGAATATAGTTGTTTTAACGGCCTCGATATAGATATAATTTTACCTGAAATGATGAATAATTAACGATACAGCCTCCACGGCTTGTAATCAATAACATTGCCGTATCGTAAGTGTTGAAACTTGACTAATGCATGGAATAATAATGCAACACAAAATGTACTTAGAACAAAATGTATTGAAACAAGAAAGTGTACACAATATTTACATATAGTCTTTTGTATATTCCTAGTAAGACCGTTCCTGGAGAATGTGTTGACTGAGTCGCAGTCGGGCATAGTCTCTGGTTGAATCTCTTGATTCCTCCCTCTCTTCCCGGTACCAACCATATTTATATGGTCGGTACTCCACTATGCAAATTAGGTGGATCCTACCACAACAGTAAGATAACGATTTCATCTGCTAACTTAAAAGTATTTAATAGGGCGACCTAAAAATATTGGGTCTCTAGCTACCTTCTACATAACGATGCTGAAAATACCATGGATCGAACATGTGAGCAACAACTAAGTTTTAGAGAAAATTGTAACAAAATGGAAAATTATATCATTTTAGAGTATGGTTTACCCTTTACAAGAGGCCATTTGCTTGTATAGGAGTGGAAGATGAGAATTAATCCGAGCCTTGAACAGGTTAACCTTGAGATGATCGGGGAAACATCATGTTGGGAGTCGGTTCCATAGTGCAGTGGTTTAAAGGAAGAAGCTGCATAAGTGGAACTTACTTCTCAGTGATGCAATACGGAGAGAATGTGAGTGGTTTGCTACTAAGTAAGTGGTATGACGTGTTCGTGCTGTGAAGGTTTTACTTGACAGGTCAAAGGAATGCAGTTCGTTTGAGCACTTTCCAGTAGCTGTAGAGTAGCGAGAGGCATGCCACATCCCGCCAGAGAGAGAGAGACAGACAGACAGGAAGAGACAGACAGGAAGAGAGAGAGAGAGAGAGAGAGAGAGAGAGTTGTGGAAAATAATTCGTCACCCACAAGAGTCGACAGAGAAATCTTTGCAATATCTGCCTTCAACATAGGTTTTGTTAGAGTGGACTAGCCATAATTTATGGTGGAGAATGATGTCACTGTAGTTATAAAATCTAGTCGAGGGAAATTGAGTGAGGATATTATCAATCTTTTCTGATATTCGGTCGAAGATTATCGTCCTGAGGCCGATAGAGAGGAAAGACGAATGTGGTACTATAGATAATTGCCAGGCGGAAGCACATATACGGGAGGTCGGGTTCTTCATTTTCTGCATCACTGCTACAGGGTAAACACGTCCTAGGCTCCGAGCCCGTGATGATTTAGGTGATGGTGTTTAGCTATAAGAGATGAGTAACCCGGGAATGTAAGCTCAACCAGTGCGCTTAAAGCGTTGATACCGGTTTCAGAAATAATAGGGGGTCAGGTTTGGACGAAAAAAATGGTGTTCCGCTTCTGGATAGTTGTAACGTAGACCCATCAACTTAATGTAGGAGATGGTTTATGTGGCGTCGACTTCGATTTTTAGGTTGGGTTTCCTAGATTTGTTCATTTGTATTTTGATTAGTCTCATAAGTGCATTGGTTGGTTGAAGAAAATTAACCAGAAACAGACACGCCAGCATGAGTTGCATGTATAAATAACATGAAGAGAAACGCCCAGAGATACAGCCATAGCAGAACGCTTGATAATGGCATCGAGAGGCCCCACCGGATATTACTGTATGGTCCAGAAACAGTTCGCAAAATGACAGCATAATAGCCCCGATATTATACACCTGCAAACTTATTCTTAGGTTTGGATCCCTGAGCATCAGGAGGACAACGCGGAAAACCAGAAAACGTCTAACTCCAGCACCCTTAATGATCCCTGAGCATCAGGCGGATAACGCTAAAACAGAGAAAACGTCAACATACAGCACCCTTAATGGTCTCTGACAAACAGGCAGATAACGCGAAAACACAGAAGACGTCCACCTCCAGCACCCTTAATGAACCCTGACCATCAGGCGGATAACGCGAAAATCCAGAAAGCGTCGACCCCAAGAACACTCAATTATACCTGACCATAAAGACGATAACGAGAAACCCAGAAAAACGTCCACATCCAGCACCCTTAATGATCCCTGGCCATCAGGCGGATAACGCTAAAATCCAGAAAACGTCCACCTCCAGCACGCTTAATGATCCCTGACCATCAGGCCGATAAGGCTAAATCCCAGAAAACGTCCACCTCCAGTTCGCTTAATGATCCCTCACCATCAGGCGGATAACGCTAAAACCAAGAAAACATCCTCCTCCTGCACCTTAATGATCCCTGGCCGTTAGGCCGATATCGCTAAAACCCAGAAAACGTCAAACTCCAGCACGCTTAATGATCCCTGGCCAACAGGCGGATAACGTGAAAACCCAGAAAACTTCCACCCCCAGCACCCTTAATGAAGAGACATTGAATTAAGGAGAGAAGTTTTGTGCATGT